TAAAAAATAAATTAATAAATAAATAAAAATAAAACAGCAACTCACTAAAAAAAATATTTTAAAGGTTATACAAGGTCAGATTCTGAGACTCTTGCAAACCTGTCAGGCAATGGAGATGAAAAAGAAAAGTGAAAAGATAGAAGTAAATTTTTCATTTTGTACAACCATTTAGTAATAAAGAAACTGTTCAGTTAAACACTTTTTAACTATTCAAAGTCACCATCTGGATTTATCTATGTGAATCACATTATTAATATTAGTTCTAGACTGTGGTAACTTGAAATATTTGTGTTTATTAAAAGGTAAAAGTACATTAATAATTTCATTAATTAAAACTTTAAGCATTTAATTGAAATTAAGGCATGGGCCATTTTAGAAAGCAAAATAGTATATAAGAACATTATAAAAATATCATGAAAGACTTGTACATAATGTCTGATCATGCATCCTTTTGGTTGTGCTTTTAGTATGTCTGATTGTTTATTTTTTCTTAATAAAATAAAAAAGTGCATATTATAGATACATAATAATACAGAAAAGCATAGATAGTATAAAATTTGACTAGAGTTTCAATATAGGGAGAACCATTGCTAACATTTGGGTGTGCAGGTTGTTGTTTTCTTTGTTTTGTTCTACACTGATGAGGAGAAAATGAGATGGCCGGGGACAGAATACAGGGAAACTCAAACATTTATGAACTGTATGAGAGATAAGTAAGAGAAACAGGTTTTAAACCAGTCAAAGGTTTTGAGAGGAAATATTGGTTATAAGGTAATTAGACAAGGTGGAAAGGATATATGAATGGAAAGCTCAGAAAACGCATGTGGAATTTGGAATTAACTGAGGTTTATTCCTTAGGATGTCTCCATTACACTCTGCTACATAAAAGCAGATAAATTTAAAAATATGTATATCATCGCTCCCTGACCTATTTTATAGTCTCTGTCTCTCCTTGTGCACAAGATCTCCACTCAGACGACAATATTTAGCATTGTTAAAATGTAAGGATGCCAGGTAAAATACATGATATCTATGTTTAATTTTGGATTAACAATGAATGGTTTTTAATGTAAGCATATACCAATTATTATAAAGTTTTCTACCTGAGTTATTTTGATAATTTATTTTATTGGAAAATAAACCATTTCACCCATTTGAAAGAAAAAAAATTGTGATAAATATGTATAGAGTATTTCATTAAACATAAAAGTAAATGTTGCTTCTATTGTCATCTTTCTATGTATTTCCCCTTCTACCAGGAACTCTTTCTACTTAACTGACTTCTCAACATTTAGGTCTCAATTTAAATGTCATTCCTTCAAAGGCTTTCCAATCTAAAGTAGTTTCTTTTTTTTTTTAATATTTATTTCTTTAGTTTTCAGCGGACACAACATCTTTGTTTGTATGTGGTGCTAAGGATCGAACCTGGGCCGCACGCATGCCAGGCGAGCGCCATACCGCTTGAGCCACATCCCAACCCTCTAAAGTAGTTTCAACCTGACTCACAGTATTCCCTTCTTTAATGATACTTATGACAATTTAAATTATTTGAGAAATTATTCATTTTATGTCTATCATTCCCATTAAACTGAAAGCTCCATAAGAGCAATCTGTCTTGTTTACCACCACACACTCAGTGGCTAATACAGTGTTTTGTTCATATTTGTTGAAATGAGTAAATGATTCTCAAAAAACACTTAAAAAAAAAAAACCTGGGGTAAAGTCCTATATAGGTTTCATGGTATCTAAAAGACTGTGTGAGCTTCTTAGGACTAATCCTAAGGCCTTCCTTCTACTTCCCCCACCTGTCATTCATTCCTGTTGAGCTAGCCAGTCAGCCCAGTTGTCTCTTTTGTCTATATGTGTATCTTTGACTTGTTGATACTTCTTACCTCTTCCCTTTACGTTCATTTCCCTTCCTTAATGTTGATTTCTCACCAAAACATCAACAAAAGACAAACCACAAACATATCTTCTGAGAAGTCTTTCTTAATCCACTTAATACCACTTTCACAGTTTCCTTGCTGTTTTCAGAGCATGCGTGTATAATCTGTACTATAAGACTTGAGAATTTGACTAAATAATGCCTTGTGATTGTCAGCATGTTACATAAGTCAGTTAACTATATGGAGAATATGGCTATAACTGGATATGTAGGAGTAGGAAATTCACTGAGAGAAAAAAAAAACCCATTTAATGAATTGGTCATTTTGTGAATTTGATTATAGACAGGAAGACCTGGAATGATCATAAAGGGCCTTATAGGACATGATGAGGAATTTAAACTTTATTGAGCCTATTGGAAAACCACTAGAAGATTTAGACAGGATAGTGAAGAGCTGATTTGTGTCTTAAAATCAGATTCATGTTGTATTGGTGCAAGATTGGAAGCAGAAGACAAGAGATTTGGGGTGAGAACTGATGGAAGATATGAGACAACAAAAGCAATAATCAAGGATGACTCTTTTTTTTTTTTTGCCTGAATGGTATTATCATTTTATGACCCAAAAAATAATTGGAAGTAGCCAGTTTTGGGGGAATGAAGAGTAAGTATTTGGGATAGTTAAGTTTGAGAGTTTGAGGTGCTGGTTACACACCCAAGTGAAGACATTGAGTAACTTGGCATCCAAATATGAGTCTGAAGGTCAGGGCTGGAAATACAAATTTGAGATTAATCAAGATATTTATTAATTGTAGCTATGGGTCTGGGAGATTAGTAAATAGAGACCTAGAGGAGTGAAGGCAGAACATGGCGGCCTGGGGTGGTTCAATATTCAGAGGACTAGAAGAGGAGATGCCAGCATCATGAAGGTGAGACTGTAACTTTTTTTTTTCAGTTTCTCAGAGCACCTGTTTCAGTGTAAGTATTTGAGAACATTCACTGAAGGAATGAATAAATAAATTTCTGGGAAAGCAGGATGTAACCATACCATTTAGCTCATGTCCATGCCAGAGCATAAAGTCGTTAGTATTTCTGCCAGTCTCAGTCACATACAACGGTGGAAAGTTCCACACCTGGCAAGCATTTATGGTAGTTTTTTTTTTAACACTTTATAAATTACACCTTTTAACTGAAGCCTTCTTTTCTTCCTTTACCTAGGTACAGATAAATAGCTTTAACTTGTATTTAACAAATGGAAAAATGACTGAGCCAGTGTGTTCCTGGGATGCATTGGTTGTTTTCTTCATTAAAAGACACCAACCTCAATCCTTGTTAATCTATCAAAACCATATATTTTCAAGTGCTAACCAGAGTAAAATGATTTTGGCCAATTTGAAGTAAATTTACTCTATGTTTTTCTCTTCCAATTGAAGTACATGCATTTAAAATTTCTCCTGGAGTGCCTCCAAATTACAAAAGAAAACAAAGTTAAAAACAGAAACTCTGAAGGAATAGCAAGAGAGCCTTAATTGATTATACATTGCTTTTTTTAAAATTCAATTTTGTGTAATTAACATTGTTCCCAATATTGTATGATACCATTCATATCCCAGTATTGATATGATTTTTAAAAAATCAATGCAGAGGATACAGAGTTATGAGTAAGACATTTCCAATTAAGCAATAAATCTTTGCCACAATCATTTGGGAGGGAATTGCAAATTTTGATTCTGGAAGCGTATTTGGCACCAGCAAGCTTTTGAATGGCTGGAGTTAAATGGAGACTTAAAAAGAAAAATTGTCTCATTAAATGGCCAAAACCAACAGGACTATGCAATTTATGTATTCAGACATTTATGGTGCAATGCTCATACAGGCAGCTGATGTCAGTTCTGGGAACTGGTATTAAGAGCAGTGGAATGAAACAAAGTTGATGAATTACACAGAAAGAGCAGTCCATTTTCAGATTTCTCTCAAAAAGCAGCAAGAGTGAAACAAAACCACAAAAATAAACGAAAACTTCAGCCTAGAAATTGACATTTGAAATATCAAAATTATAGATGGAAGAGATTAAAATTGCTCAGGCTCTGAGATTCCTCATTCATTTCTTTTGGATAATGAAAATCACTGTTATTTTTAAAGTTCTCTCTTTTTCTTATTAACTATCTTGGAAGAAGTTTGTACTAGGATGACCAAGTCCTGAAGTGAAATTTCTCAAAGTGTACGTCAAGGAACAGTTAGAAAGTGGATAAATCTTTCAAAGATTCCTATAACAGGCAGTGGCCTGATTACCTAAGATTCCTTCATCTGTGGAAAAATGAAGTCTGCATCCTCCCTGATGGAGATATGCCTTCAGGCCTCTCAGAGCAAGCTAGAAGATATTAATATCTAGTCTTGCACCATTCTAATTGTTTTCCTGGCCACAATAAGTCATCATCATAGAAGGAAAGGACCAAAACTGGGGAGAGCTTTTCAGAGCCCAGGTAACTAAGCTAAGGAATTTTTCTAAGTCCCCAAAGGAAAAAGTGTTCCCTTTATCTTAGCAGTACAGACACTGTGTTGTGTTCCATGGTAGGAACACCAAGGATGAATTCAATGAATTCCCTCTTTGTATCAAATGTTAACACCAGTTTCTTTTCAGGAATAAGGGTTTTTAAAAGAAAAAAAAAACATGCTTTATTAGACATGGAAGTTAGCTTCATGTAGAGTAGGTATTGGAGCAATGTAACTATTGCATTAAAACAGTCATATATTTAACCATGCCCACATAATTCTGAGGGGTAGCATAAGTTCTGTTGTATAGGATAAGATTCAGAGAGGATTTGTGCATTAAATGAATAAGAATGAAGCCTGCCTCTTCTTAAACCCATGATTAAATGGCTTTCCCAGTTAAGGAATATTTGTTTTCTATCATCTTTTGATCTGGTTCTTTTCTTTTATCCCAGGAAGCATCATCTTTTTCAAAGTGCAGACACCATCTCCTTAGAGCATCTCTGTCTCACTGTCTTTCCTTCCTGATTCAACACATTGCATACATTTCTGTTCTAATCTATAATAGCAATTTGGAGAAAAATAAATGATATAAAATGCTTTCTACAGAGGATAAAAAATTACATACCTTTTTCTTCTTTCCTTTTGGTTTCGTTGGCAGAAGAATCTTCTTAAATGCTCAAACTGACTGGGTGAGTTTGGGCAAACGGAGAAGAGAGGAGGTGCTGGAAAGAGGTTCTTTACAAATGAACCTTTGTCTGCCTTGTCTCTTGCCTGGAACTGACAGACTCATTGCTCCAGCCAGGACTGAGGGGAGGAGGGGAATGGAAGGAGACAGGACTGCAAGAACTGCCTCCCTTGGGTTCTTCCAAACCAGGCAAGAACGAACTAAACAGCTTCTTCACAGAAGGAAATAACTAGTCCATACAAGAACTTCAGGGAGGCAGACTTTTGAGCAATAAAATATGAAACCTGAGGGATTTAAAAGAACACACAGATTTTTACCTTAAGAAAAGGTTACATGTGTATGTAGGGGGAGGGAGGGTAGAAAGGAAGAGAGAAGAACAGGAGGGGAATGGTTAGCATTACTTAGGAAGATGGCTAAGCACCTCTTCTCCCTTCACAGTTTCTGTGTGTGTGTGTGTGTGTGTGTGTGTGTGTGTGTGTGTTGTTTGTTTATTTGATCAAGTTTCTCATAGCATCTAGATATAACATTTTGGCAAAAGATATATTCTAATTTATATTCCACCCTATTTCATCCCTTCAACCTCTCACTCAAAGACTTATTAGCAGTCAATGGAAAGCAAAACTAAGCAACTAAAAATGAAATCTATTCTGTGTCTCAGGAATTAAGACACAAAAGGAATTTCATTCTGTTTTGAGCAAACAATCCTGGAACTCTGTTTAACTATTTTTTAGCATCAGTTTTTTAAAATTCAATTAGGAATAGTCTTCTGGGAACTAGAAAATATTGTGACAGAGTAGGAATTATCTTAGACAGAGAATGGAGGAAAGGGCATCCCAGGTTAAATTAACCAAAGCATTGAAGGTGAAGAAGAAGGTGACAACTTGGGCATTACAGGTAGCTTCATGTTGTTGGAATCAGAAATGTAGGAGATGAAGTTAGAGAAAGAAGCAAGTAGATGATGTGTTTCATTTGCTGTGCTAACCATTTGGATTTTTTTTTCCTGAAAGTGAATGGAAAGAATGAATATTAGAAAGAATGAATATTAGAAAGAATGAATCCCCAACTACAGTGTGAAAAAAGGATGGTGTGGGATAAAGGGGATTGGAGACAGGAGAACAGAAGCACTTGCAACAACCCAGAAGGGAAGATAAGTAGAAGGCAAAACTGAAGGGACCAATACCCAATTGGGTCGTGTTTAAGGTAGAGGTAGGTGAGGGAAGCAGAAGAGACTTTACTAACTTTCCAAGCCTTGGGCCCTTGGATGGATGGTGGTGATATTTATCTAGAAAAAGAATACAAAAGGAGTACACAACCAGAGATGTGAAAAATTGTGCTCAATATGTGTAATATGAATTGTAATACATTCTGCTGTCATATATAACAAATTAAAATTTTTTAAAAATTAAAAAAGAATATAAAAGGAAGATCTGTTATTCAAACAGGAAAAAATAATCTAAAAGTTTTTCCTTAGCAGGAGTGGGAAGATATAAATGAATTGGTTGGTGAATGGTGAATGTTGAGTTTAAGGAGCCCTTGATGCAATTGGGAGTGTTACTGGGCAGCTGGCTATATGGACCTAGGGATCAGGAAAACAAAATCTTTTCTAGAGAATTGAGGTTCATTAACTAATCAACTAAACACCAAGTAATGCCACTTAAGTAACTAGTGGAGTTATTCAACTAAATGATAGCTGTGACCCTTGAAATTTACCATGCTCTTGCTGTGAGCCCTGAGAGAGATCAGATCTTTGCCCCATCTCCATTTAACTGAAGCTAAGGCAAGTGGCATGGACTTCAAGAAAGGAAATGAGAAGCGTGCATGCAATTGACTGTACATTTCCTTTGCATTTTAATAAACAAATCTCCTGTGATTCTACTAAGTCAAGATTATGTCATAGAGGGTATTAACTTGCTTTTATGATTTAAGTGTGTAGAAATATGTGAGTATGAGAAAGGAAATGGAAACTGGCCTTCATTCCATCTTAAGAGCTATCTATTTTATTTATCTTAAGTAGATCTAGACATTAAGTATGATGCCAAGGCAACTTAATGTTCTTTGTGGGTGGATCCTCTCTTTTGTCTTTGTTTTACTCTGAAATTCCTGTGTGTCTCTTTTTTTTATTTTCCTATTGTGCGTACTTTGTCTCCTTGTATCTGAATTCACATTTTTATATTCAGCAATGTTCAAATCCATACATACATACATACATGTGCTTGGCTTTGTGCGTCCTGCATGCTGGCTTCAAGTGGTACACAGATGCTCTGCCTATGGGCTAATAGTCTGGAATAGATTCTTAGTCACTTAGAAAAGTGATCCCCCAAGAAACACATTTAAATCCTGACTTCCTAGTCCCTCGTTGTGCTGTCAAACATTTATTCTTAGCTGGACTTTCCATTATATCTGGGGAGAACTAATAAACTTTGTTAAATTTAAAAGGCTTGATGTTATTCATCCTGATGTCCATTACAGAGTTGTCCATTTTGAGAAGCAAGTGAATTGCAAACCAAGAACTACAACTGGAATATCTGTCCTTGTAACTTCTAATTTGGGGCTCAAAACTGAAATCACTATTTGTTGTCTTGTTTACAGAGAATTAGGATTTCTTTTTTGCTTTCTCTCCTAATAGGCTATTACTCAAACTCCTTGTTGAACTCTGCTCTAGAGATCACCTGTCTCATGAAGAAAGCTTTAGAAACCCCCCAAAGTGAACATCTTAAGTGACATCTAGAATGTTTTAAGTAAGGCCATCTAAATATCCTTTCCAGATTTCTAGAAAATATATATATATGTGTGTGTCCTATCTGGATGTTTTATTTATATAGATACCTGTTATCACTTTTAGATCCAATCTAGTTTTGTTAAAAATAGAAAATCCTTACAAATTAATGACAGACCAATTCATGAGTAAACATTTTATATGAACTTAAACAATTGTGTTTGAAGCACTGTTATTAAATTTTAAAAGTGATCTAATTAGTGTTTCCCAAAAAAAAAAAGAAAAAAGAAAAAAATCATCAAAATCCTTCTAACCAGATGAAGTCTCAGAAGACATCTTAGATATAAATAATTTCAGACATCAGAAATTTTAAACTTGTGGAAAAAAAAATGGAAGCACACATAAGCCCTCCCTCTGATTTTCACCTGGGAGCTCATGCGTTTGCCCTGATTTAGAATCTGCTGCTTCTCTGTTCTATAATTGACCCCTTTCTCTTATTTCCCTCAGGCTTACATCCTTCTGGAATCACTGAAACTGGAGGTGCAGGGGGGAAGCAGCTGCTGGGTTCAGCCTTCACAGATCAGATCCTCCCAGGAGAGAGGTAGAACTTATTTTATGCAAGTATCCTCCATAAAAGGAGTTTTAAAGTAATTACACCAATTGGAAACTAATTCTCAAAATGTTTGTTGAAATATTACAAATTACAGACAAAATCATCTTTTAAAACTATCCTATAATCTTTCATCAGTTAAAAATAAATAAGCTGTTTTATTAACTTAATTATTTTTTAACTCTGTAAAAGAGATTTCTTTTTGATTGAAACTATTTAAAAAGTTCCCTTAAGATTTCAACTGAACCTGGAACATTTGTGCTTAGAATGGTTTTTGCAACTGGGTTGAACAATATAACCTCTATTACCCAAACTTAGCTTTATGCCACAGAAGTGAAGCTTATGAAAACAGAGTGCACTGAGGAGTCTCCAGTGAGGCCCTGGAGGGGAAAGCAGAATTACTAAATAGGAAAGGTAAGATGTTGAGCTAATGCTACAACTGCAGGAAGAGAAATTTTTTCCAGAAGCATTTGTATTAGAATGCAATTTCAATGGTCTGATGTACTTTAGAACTACCAGCTTTCCCAAGTGGGCAGCCCTGGCTATCATGGGGATAACAGGACTGTCTTCTTGATGCCTTTAGACATAGAAATGAGTACAAGCTCTCTTTTACCAGGGAGAGAGAGTAAGGCTCCCACTGGGAGCAATGGATTTTTTTCCAAGGAATTTATATATAAAGGTCACGAACACTGTGAGTAACATGATCTTTAAATACAGTGGAAATAAAGTCAGAAAAATGAACATCAAGAAAGAAGTGTGTCAAGGAAAATTGTTATGTTTTAGGAGCCCCTTCTATATTTAGAATGAATGAGAATATTAGCATGGAAGTAAACTTTTGTGGGAAAAGAGGCAAAAAAAAAATGTGTGGGGGGAGGGAGAAATTTGAAAAGAACCAATTTGTGTTCTAAGAGGCTGTAAGAGTGTCAGACTAGCAATGCATAGAATCAGAGTCCAGACCCCCAAAATAAGTTTGTGTTTTGTTGGAAACAATACTACTTACTTAATAAACCTTGAAAAATGGAAAGAATGACTGAGTATGCCAAAGGATGTTCTGTTGTAGGTCCTGAGTTAATGCCCTAATCTTCCCAAAGTTGTTTTATAGACAAGCATCAGATTGGTTAATAATAGTAGTAAATAATAGTAATGATACTAGTGAGAATAATATTTGCTGACATTGCCAAGCATACTAAACATTTTATAAATATTTTCTTATTTAATCTGAGTGACTTATTTTCTGAGGGAGTTTTCAGATAGGAAACTGAGGTTCAAAAGAATTAGGCACCTTGGCTAGGATCACACAGTGGGTAAATAGTGAAGCCTAAGACAAAACTATCTTTGTTTATCTGCCTATAAGTAGTAAATAGTAAAAGAAGTAGAAGAAGAGATTGAAAAGTATAAGATAATACTATTTTTAAAAGTTGTGATCCATAATTTGAGTGTGAATTAACTGCACATGCTGTCTTCAAACCATTTAGCCATCCCCCTCTTATTATGTCTCCGCCATCTATTTTCTGCTAATCTTGGCTTGATGTGGTTCTTACCTAGACACATAAACTTAAAGAAGTTGAACAGAGTTATCTACAAAGTCAGATATGTGAAACTGCCAGAATGTCAGTACTTTAGCTAGAGTTCCTAAGTGGTTATAAATCTAGGAATAAAATTATAGTGCCAAGCACTCAATATAATAAATGACAACAAGTCAATGAATACATGAGTAAATGGATGAAATTCTTGGGTAGAGGATAGGTTCTTGAAAATTATTCATTCAGTAATTATTTATTGAGTGTCTATTATGTACCATGAATGATATTATAGTATCACTGAAAATGAAGTTCAGCAACCTAGATGCCCTTCAACAGATGAATGGATAAAGAAACTGTGGTACATATACACAATGGAATATTACTCAGCATTAAAAGAGTGGCATTTGCACGTAATGGGATGGAGCTGGAGAATATCATGATAAGTGAAGTAAACCAATCCCAGAAAACCAAAGGGCCCAGTGTTTTCTCTGATATGTGAATGCTGATTCATAATGGGAGTAATGGAGGAACTTTAGATAGGGCAAAAGGGAGGAAGGGGAAGGGAGGGGACATGGGGGGTAGGAAAGATGGTGGAATGAGATGGACATCATTACCCTAAGAACAGGTATGAAGACATGAATGGTGTGACTCTTCTTTGTGTACAACCAGAGACATGAAAAATTGTGCTCTATGTGTGTACTATGAATTGAAATGCATTCTGCTGTCATGTATAACAAATTTTTGTTGTTGTTGTTACTACTGTGTATTTTCTTTGATAGTTTAAAAAAAGAAGAAGAAATTCAGGAGAGAATTCCTGAGGGTCTAATTCTCTCTGAAGCAGATTAGACCTTATGATTCATTAAATGGGAGCTTCTTAGATACACCATGTCTCTCTTATTACACAAAATTATAATGAGAATTCTCCCTTCTGCCTCATCTTTTATTGCCCCATGTGACAGGGGGAACCTCAGATGCTTATTTGCCCTCAATATCATAGAACCTCTCTCTATTTGCATGTTCTCTCCCTTCCCCAATCCTTCTCTCTCTCTCTCCCTCTCTTTTCCTCCCTCCCTCCCCCCCCTCTCTTTCTCTCTCATTCCCATAACAATTTATTAGCACTATGCTCATTATCCTTCCAGAGTTTATTTATCTTTCAAAATAAGAACAAATCAAACAATCTGGGCAAAACTAAAACAATGAATTTAAAGTGTCCTAACTTCCCAGAAACACTTGTAATAACACTTGTAGTGATTTGACACTCTTTTTTTTCTTAAGCTGGAGAAGCACAAAAATAAATGAAGATATTGGGCCTTTATATTGTCTTTTTGTTGTAGTTGACTGTGTATTTTCTTTGGTAGTTTCCTAAATACTCTTATTCATACCAATATAAGGTGAGTGGAGATTTTTGTCTCTAGATAAAGAACATTTTGTAGCTTTATTAAGGTTGTTCTTTCCCATATTCCCTGATATGCCAGATTAACCTTACCTAGGCCAAGGATCTTTCAGGAGGAAAAGGATCAAGACCATATCCTATTTCCATTTGAAATTCAACCTAATTGGAACTTTCTGAAGGGCTAAGGTAGTCCTGACTCAGCCCCCCCCCAAGAAGAAAGAGGAAGCCTGGCTCAGTGACAGGCTCAATGCCAGGCCTAGAGGTTTGTAGGGGACAGCTTGTCCTAGGTACTATGTGTGGCTGTGGTTTGAAACCCAATTATACCTGGCCACCTTGGCAAGCAGTTATGTTTGGGCAATAGTAGCTGATTGTGTGAGTCCAGTAAGCTGTCATCTTGGATGTCCATGAGCACAGTGCTACCCTGCTGCCTGCTAAGGGTTCTGCAGGAGCAAGGATGTCCTTAAAGTAGGACAAGGACTCACTGGAGCCTGTCAGAACCAGTTTACAACAGTGATCTCCTGTAGAGGTGATGATTAAAACCAGAACCTGTGGGCTGGAGATGTAGTTCAGTGGTAGAGTGCCTGCTTAGCACAAGACCCTGAATTCAATTCCCAGCACCACAAAAACAGCACCCAAACCAGAACCTGTTAATGACTGATCCGTTTTTTCTACATGGAACATTGAAACAAGACTTTCCCCTTTAGTAAATTTCCCAGAGTTCCTGATCAACTTGAGAGATGAGGTGTCCTTAAGAATAAGTTATTGAATTACCTACAGTAATAGAGGAATGAAGGCTTGATCAAATAATTGCAAAGTGAAGAGAAGCCCAAGTTTTGAATCTAGACAATTACATTTAAATGTGCAAATACATTATAAATCTTTAAAAGCTGAAGTGTTTGCCAAACTTATTTGACCACTGAACTTGTGTGTATGTGGTGTGTGTGTAGCTGGGCATTGAACCCAGGGTCTTATGCATGCTAGGCATGTATTCTATAACTGAGCTACACCCCTAGACCTGAAAATATTTTTTTTAATTTTATTTTTTAGTTGTAGTTGGATACAATACCTTTATTTTTATGTGGTGCTGAGAATTGAACACGGGGCCTCACACAGGCTAGGCGAGCGCTCTACCACAAAGCCACAACCCCAGCCCCATACCCAGAACTATTTTTTAAAAAATACTAAGTATCTAAAATGATTGGATTCCAAAGAAAACTTGGAAAATGCTTCTCAAATTACAGAATTTTAGATGTTTCATAACCATTTATTGAGTGACTGGATTTCTGGTTATCACCATTTTGGCAATGTTACTAAAAACCTAACAGCCATTTCTTTTGCACAGTTTGCATCTTACAGCTTCAGAGCAGATGTCTCCTGGAAGGTTCAGGAAGTTTGAGAGCAGTAATGGCTAAGAATTCTTGATTAGTTTTAGTAGATCCATCCTCAGGAACAAATGGTAAACCTCATTTCATTTGTAAATCAAAGGAAACCATATTTTACCAACTCCACCAACCTGGAATGGGGTGTGATGGTAGGGGGCCATCTCTAATCATACCAGCTGAATCCCATTCCCCCTCGGCTCCACATTCCCCAGTTTGAAGATGATGAGAAGTTTATTTAGCAACCTGTAGCTGCAGACACTTTATAAATAAATGGAATATATTTTTATTAATCAGTATAAAAATTAAAATTTAAAGACTTCCTTTCTATCTTCTAACTCGGCTTTATGATGACATTGCTTTGTAATATAACTTATAAGGCACAATATTCATGAAATCATTCTGATAATTTCTAAGTCATTGTTGGTTTTTAGAAATTCCTGGTTGGTCTTAAGTTTGATAAGTTTCCTTTAAACTAAATACTGCTCATCTCTAAGCTACAATTTTATAGGGGAAAATTCACCCAAACTCTTCCAATGACTTCTGTTAGATTGGGTCTGGGACGAGGCACTTGCCTCAGCAAGAGGGTGACTGGGTGGGCTGCTCCTTCTGTCCAGGATGCTAGTGCTTCTCACCTACCCTCTCCCTAAGGGGCTTCCATTCTTATTGACAATACTGCCATCAGCTCAGCCTGTC